AAAAACATTTAATTTATAGACTCGCACAGGGAATTTGTGAGTTCCCACTGGTAGAAAATTTCTCAAAAGTTCCATAAAACAAAAAGAATATAATAGATCATCGTACTTCACAGTGTATTAGACATTCAAAGTTCTAATCTGACAACACGAAGCACCATTTACTACGATTTCTCGATGTTATATTCTGACACATATTCTCAAAATCGAGCCTATCTTCCATCTATCTATCTCTCTCTCTCTCTCTCTCATACACAATTCATGCGAGCACGCGATTTCGGGTAAGAAAATTAATTTTATTCACACCATGGCGCAAAGTACAATCTCGTGTTTTCTCGAGGACGCTTCAGGCGACTACCTTTTCCTTTTATTTCTTTTTTTTTTTTTCTTTTTTTTTTGTTTTTTATCTTTTCTTTTTACATGCCGCGAGGTTTGAAGTCGTTGTTGCTTGCTTAACACTTTCTATCTATCTCTCGTTCTCTCATTTACGCGTGCACGCATACACACCCACACACTCTTTATACTCAAACCGAGAGAGGATTTTTTTATATTATTATTATTATTATTATTATTTTTTTTTTTTCTCTTTCGTCGCGGTTAACCCTGACTCACCTGAATTTAATCAACGCTCAATTCTTCTTCCTTCTTCGTCTTCGATAAGAGGAATTTGATTGACGAGATAAATCGAGATACGTAAAAATATCTTGACAACGAGTAAGAATAAGTCTCAGAACACTCGAACACGATACGTCCATTTAAATCCAGGACACGGAAGCGAAATTTTCAAGTCGTTACTTCTCTTTCATTCACTCGCACATACTCTCTCACATACACACACATACACACACATATATACATATATATACTTGGACATTTACAGACACACAAGGATGTTTCGTATCCTGGTCCTAACAGTGGATCCTCGGCACTTACGCGCTCGTGAATACACCGACTTAATTTAATTACGTTTCCAAATGCTTTCTACCATACCAACACGTTGCCAACGTTTAACTTTACCAAAAGTTTGCCGCCACCTGCGACAATGACGGACGCGATCGATTTTATTTTTTACATTTTTTATTATCTTTTTCTTTTTTTTTTAGAGAAGTGAGGTCTTTTTCGTTTTTTTATTTCTTTCAACCAATTATCGAACATCTCTCCAAATTGTTCCCTCTTTCGGAGAAATTTCTTGTTAAATAATAATCGCGAGTATTTCCGTTACGCTCAAATGTATCCCCATTTAACACTTTAAAAGTGTTCGAACCATTTATTAATAATTATTGAAATAATATTTAAATATAAATGTTTTATTTTATCAATTAATAAATACGTCGAGAGAATAAATGATGAAATATCAGTCAACTTTTTATATTCTCATTTATATTTTTAATAATATACATATATATATATATACCTCTTGTGTACCAAAATGTTTGATTCGTAAATTTACAAGTCACTCGTCATCGATAAAAGCATAACAAAAAATAAGGGTTCTCGTTTTTGTTTTTTTTTTTTTATTTCATTCTTTTTTATTTGTTTTTGTCGAATCGACAAAAGTATCGACGATACACGAGTCGAGTCATGTTCGGCTTAATTACTAGAATTAATGCGAGTCAGTGGTGTTAATCCGGGTGCGGCACGCGAGCCAATCAAGGGGCTCAGATAAGAATGAAACGATATCGAAACAGGACGGCTCATTAGTCGTTCATGTGTTCGAGATATAAATTACACGCTTAATCCGATCTGCTTGATAATAGTTCAGATATTTGTTTCTTTTCTTTTCTTTTCTTTTCTTTTCTTTTCTTTTCTTTTTGTTTTCATCTTCGATAGAGAACATTTCATAGAGAGACACTTGTTATACGATATTATATTCGTGTATGTTTAGTTATAAATAATTATAATACATACACGTATTTTTCGATTTGTTTCGATATTAAACTCGAAAAGAAAATATTACAAATTTAATCATTCGTTAAATATATCAATTATACGTTATCTTAATCATCGTGATTACCTAACCAGCCATTTAACTCTCGATCACTATAATTTTCTCCTAAGAGAAGAAAAAAGAAACTAAGTGAACAGCATACAACAGCCTTTCAAATTTTTTCATTAGCAATGATCTAGGATTTTTCGACAAAACAACACTGCGATAACTATAATTATTTTCTAACGATAAATAACTCTCTCTATTATTCTCTCTCTCTCTCTCTCACTCTGCTTTTTCAATAAGGAACATCCTACTTCGTTAAAGCTATAATCATTCCGTAGATTAATCTTCGAACTTCTTACGTAAACTTTGTCTTACTACAATCCCAATTAAGGGAATACGATCGTAAATGTATGAATCGTTTGGTCGATCTTTAACGAAGAATCTATAATGATAATAATAATAGGAAAATTTAAACCAGATGATTTATTACCCATTGTGATGTTTAATAGGTAATTAAAGGATACTAATTACAATCACTTTTGAAAGTCATTTAATACTTTAGTTATGTACGGATATTTTTTTTTCTATGCATATTATAATATAATTTTTTTCAGGGACATGTTTTCGACACATTTTAATGTAATTAATATTATTTGTTTTTATATACGTCTTCTAATTAATAAAAACATATTTATTTGTGCATGCTGATTAGTATGGTTAAATTAATTTGTGAGATATTATAATTTTTTAATATCTTTTTCTACTACTATCACTGTAAATCTTAATAAGTATATAAATAATTTGATAGAATAATTTCAAAATTAAAATATTTCTTAAATTAATAAATTTTCGATAAAAATATATGAATAATTTTCTCTACGAAATAATATTTCTTTATTTATAATTCCACAAGATGGCTGTTATCAAAGATGACGCCAGTTTCAACGTCAATACAAAATCAGATTTTGACAAAAATACAATCACATTATCTCAAGATTTATATTTTAAAATAAACGATCTTATAAAAAGAAATAATTTCACAATTAAAAGTTCCACATTTTAAATATATCTCTTAAGAAATTGGTTTTCATCGAAATGAAATGATTGAAGTATTTAAATTTGAACGGTTCACCGCGTAGATTTAAATAACCATAATACCTATATTTCGCATATGTAACTATATAGTTACATATTTGGCTCTGCTCTAATCCCAATCTATACAAGTTCATTTTCTAGATGCCCGAGGCGTCGAGCGTTAACCTTTAATTACAGGCCGGGTTGAGCGTCTAAATTTATCGCTAATAACATTGCAACGCGAACAGAGTTAAGCTCCATCACCGAACGGTCTTTCTGAGAAGCCGCGTCACGGAACGGAACAGAACAGAACAGAACGGAACTGAATTGAACTGAACTAAACGGATCACGTTCAAACACATACCCGCAATTTTCACTGCTCTTTCATTCTCACGATCAAACGAATGCGAACATTTAAGTTTTTAACAAACCTTTTCTTTTAGTAATAAAAATAAATAACATTATACGTGTATCATTTAACACAAAGTAATTCTTATTGCGCGTGATATTAAACGGGTAACCTAAAAACGCATTTCTACAGATTGAACATTTTTTTTTATAACACCATGTTTTTTTTCCCCTCTTTTGAAATCACACATACATTTTATACTTTTGCAAAAATTTTATTTTATACTTTATATTTTACTTCTTAATATTTATATTATATTAAATAATACAATTTTTTTTATACTTATTCTCTTTTGTTCGCAATATTTCTGCCAGTCGGGAATCCCAGAAACAAAATTAGGTTACATAGAATTACAATTAAATGAAGATTACTAACTACGGCGATTAATTAAATCCGTACGACTGACTTCTACATATTTTTTATTATTTCCTTTTTTATCTTTTAATCAATGTTAAAAACGATACGTACATACATGTGAATGTATATGCGCATATATACACACACACACACATAGAGATATATATACTCGTATACCAATTTTAAAACAGTTTAAACGGAGGGTATAACGATGACGAAGAGAATGATGAGAGATATTAGTAGGTTTGAAATTTTGTAGAACGAATTTTACAGAAAGTATGCTGACATACTACTACTACTACTACTACTATTATTACTTATACTACTACTAATGCTACAAATACAAGTCTGTAGAGCTTGTTATAAAAGTTCTCTCTTGTACGATAATACCGGAAAATAGATATCCGTTTTCGGCTCGAAGCTAGGTCACAATTAAATTTTACTCCTCTCTCTCTCTCTCTCTCTTTCTCTCTTCTTTCTCCATTCCTCACGTCATTCTTCTCCTCATTTCATCTCTCTTACTCTCATTCACTCTTTTCTTTTATCCTAAAACGATCACCCGTGACCGCAAGAACATACATATACGCACTTTTAAATATTCACCCATGCCAATCCTCGAAAAAAAGAAATAAAATATACTTTTTTAAACGCTTTCGAATAACGTCGGCTCGTTTCTTTAACCAAGAGTGTTTCCTTTTTTTTTCTCTCTTTTGTTTCTAATGGAAGAAAGAAAGAAAGAAAAAGAAAGATGAGATACTCAACAACGATATCTCGTGGGTACTTTATAGCCAAGCTTGTCACGTTTCGGACCAGAATTAGCCATTATTTTTACGCACTCGATCATAACGTTTAGAGGTGTGTGTGTGGGTTGTTACCTGGGCTCCTACGAATTATGTTCTTACTTTCTTTTATGACAAGCTAAATGCTCGAAATGTTTTCTTCTTTTTTCCATTTCTTTTTTTTCTTTCTTTCTTTTTGTCAAATACATCATATATCCGTGCGCGTGTGTGTGTCTGCTGCGTTTAAGTTTTTTATGATATAAATGGTATAAATATTATGTAAAATAAATCACGAAAATATTCATTTTTTCATATTTTTTTTTTTAACTTAGTCCACTGTCATAATTATCGACACAATTATGTGAAAACAATTCAATTTTTTCTTTTTAATTTTTTGTTTTTTTTTTTTAATAAAATATACTAATGTTAGATATTGATTTTCTGATTACAGATATGTCTATTGGGGGTAGCAGTGAGTGATAACAGTACGATCGAGGATCATTCAGCGATCGAGGACGTTTCAGAAATCGCAAACGTTGCGAACAATCTCGACATAGTAGACACCGTTGATCAGGTATGATTTTTTTTTTTTACACGATTCTTTAACGTTTCCTTACATGATTCTATAATTCTAGCATTAAATAGAAAATCTTCTTCTCGATGAGATATAGACAATTTTTTTAAAAGTAAAATAAAAAAGCTTCTAACCAAGGCATGAATTTTCTTTAGAATTTACAGGTCAAATTACGAATTTTTTCTTCTTGTATTTACAAGTGTCAGCTATGCGATAAAGTAAGAAAGAAAGAAATAAAGGCAAAAAAAATAAAATAGCACGGTAGTTTTCGCGTGTTTCCTTCTCTATGCAACAAATACAAATTTTTCCAAGTATGTAAAAGAAAGAAGTGTCGAACCGAACCGCTCGCGGAAAAAAATAAACACCCTTATTCACGTTACTCGGACTGAAACGGGTCGTCAGAAATCGTTATATACACCCACCAAGAAAAGAAAAGAAAAGAAAAGAAAAGAACGGGGAAAGAAAAGAAAATACCCAAAAGAGCGAAATAAGAAGGAGGATAAAAGGGGTGGAAAATGGGAAGAAGAATACAAAAAAAAAAAAAAAAGAAAAAAATGGCAAGGAAAGAAATAAATGAAAGAAAGTAAACGAAACGAAAGAATAGGAGAAAGAGAGAGAGAGAGAGAGAGAGAGAGAGTTGGCAGCAACCATCAAGTTGTCGCGAAAACGAGAGCTTTTATTTTTCCGCTGGCTTAACGCGAGTTTTACCAAGTCTTTTCGACACGCTTCTTATTTCTACTTCTTTCCTACTTTTTTATTCTATTTTTATTTTTATTTTTTTTTTCAATTTTTCTTTTTTATTTTCTTGGTCGGTTCACGTACGTAAGTGGTAAAGGATTTGAACTTTTTTTGTTTTATAATATTATTTACGTTACAATACATTAATTACGTTAAAAATCCATTTATTTTATTAGTATTTTTAATTAATTAAATAGTCAACGTGTGTTTATACGAATATTTGTTAGGCAATATAAGTAATTAAGTATTATTAAATTAAATTTTGTTTATATGAATATTATTGATGTTTTTTTTTGTGTTAATACGTATACCAAGAAATATTTTAATAGAAAATAATAACCATTTATAGTTTATATTACCACCACGAATTGCTAACAATTTATTTAAAAATGTGCAACCCAAAACTCTTAAGTTGCAATCGTGTAATTTTTCACTACCATTTAACTCCAACTAATTCTCGAATGACGTTTACCAAGTTGTCCTCATTTTTTTTCTATTTTTTTTTTTCTATTTTTTATCCTACTCTTTTATGTATTATGTATATATATATGCATGTATAACAAGTGTCGTTGTGTATTTCCCATATACATTTCTCCCATTTACATTTTCTTTTACTACATTTCGAAAAAAGAAAAAAGCAACGTTTAAAACGTTTCTACTTAAAATTTAGTTTCCGCGTAGTCGTTTAAACGATACTTCGCAAACAAGTTTAACATATTTCTTTGAATAAAGTAAAATACGAAAGAGATATTTTATCTGTCACTATTCCTCGCAATTTTTTATAATACACATACTCGTATTTTAAATACACACATACATTATCTTCTTTACATAGAAATAGAAAAATAAAAATATAATAATAATAATAATAATAATAATTTCAAGATAGAACAAAAGTTTCTGTTTTAATCGAGCGTCAGAGTTTTTATTGATAAACGTACACATATATACTATATATATATGAATTATCAATATATGTGTATGTATGTGTTTTAAGAGGTATAAGTTACGGTTGCATTGTTTCACCGATTGGGTTTCGCGAAACCATAGGACGTATAAGCGTCCCTCTATTCATGAGTTTTGCCATTTTTTCCAAGTTCGTGTGGGCATTGAACTCAACTTTACTCACATGGTTATTAATGGACCTTCAATTCTATCGTCATCTTCTTATTTTATTTTTCTTCTTCTTCTTATTTTTATAATCAATTTAAAAAATGAACGTTCAATTTCTCGTTCGATCGTAGAAACTTACTTTTAAAGTGTTACAATATGATAATAATCGTACGAATAAATCGAAAGAATCCCATTATGGTTGGAAAAGCAATTTCGTATAATAACGTGTAATATTAATGAATATCATTCGCGAATATATGGGGAGATGAGGATAGTAGGAATGTTATATATCATTCGTGTCGTAATTCATGGATGTATTTATTTCGAGAATCATCAAAATCGTACGAATTTTCTTGACAATATTGTATCATAATATATATATATATATATATGTCTCTCTCTTTCTTTCTCTCTTTTTGTTTTTTTTCATTTTTATTTTTTGGCTCTCTTCTTTCGTACTTAGAAAACTCAATAGGTTTAGAAAACTGCATCACCGTGAAACGCTCTTTTATTCGACGAGAACGTATGCATCAGTAAACATGAAACTTTAATGCAATACCGTACGTAATCGTACTTCATACCAACATCGAATGTCCATTTGTGAGAGTAAGATAGAAAGAGAGATGAAAAAGAAGACACGATGTTGTACTGATACAACGTATTTTTTAATTTTCATCACTTTCATTTCGATGATATTTCTAACTAAACGCTTTGCTTTACTCGAATTTTTATTCACTTAATTCTCCTTGAAATCATTTGATTCGTATTTACGATAGTTTACAGAGTTGATGTATTTAATTTTTTTTAATAAAGTATCGTTTCTATTCTTTTTTTTCTTTTCTCTTTTTTCTTTGAATTCAATAGTATATTTGAGTTTATCAAATTTGTTTTCATTACGTTGAATAATTTTTTCTTTCTAATATTATTCAGAATTTATAGTCTGTTTGATAATAGTATTTGCTATAAATATTTGAAAGTTTTGTAATAATAATAATTTGATTAAAAATATTTCTAATATTTTATGTATAGGACAAAATCTAATATGTTGGAAAATATTAAAAATTTGTAATGTATGAGAAACAACGTTTATAATACCGAACGTCATAATTTTCTATTTTATTTTCACATTTCATCAAGAAGAAAATTTAATAAAGAAAATAAAAGTTGTAAGCTACTTACTTAAAATTACTTCAACTTTTCTTCCTTTCTCTATTTCTCTCTCTTTCTCTATTTTCGTAACATTTTTGAAGTTTCTTTAACAGCGTCAAATTTGACAAATATATATATATATATATATATATATATATTTATATATATCTACCACAAAAGAAAAGGGATGCAACTTTGTGACGAGGTAAAGGAAAAGAATATCTCGTAGAAAAGATATCTCGTAAAATCGAAATATCATTTGTCTAGTAGATCGATGTCTTGTCTCTTTTTCTTCGTTCGTTCGTTGAAAAAAATTTCTTTGCCTTCGAATAAGTCGACGGTACTATACTACAACCGCGAACTTTCTTTCGTGATCGGTATCCGTTGAAATAGAATAAAAGGAAGAAAGAAAGAAATAAAGAAAGGATTGGAAAAAAAGAGAAAGACGAAAAACAATTTTCGCGAAAAGGAAGTTCTCTTGCACATTTATGTATGCGTGCGTGTATGTATATCTATATAAGTATGCACGGTAAAGTCTGGTTGAAGAAAACGAAAGAATATAAGAACGTGATTCGGTGAACAACTAGAGATGTCATTTTCTTCCTTAAGGAAAAACTTTATTCTTATCAAATCCATTTGATCACATTTTTCTTCGAAATATTCTACTCAAATATTTGCCTTCTAAATTAATTCTTCTCGGTCTACGTTAAAACTTCATATGTATCTTTAGCTTACTTTCTACTATATTGACTTGCTCAAATTTTTGTTCGTCTATACTTTTAATTTAACAAAATTTGTAATTCTATGAAAACATTAAGAAATTATAATCAAAAATTTTAAAATTCACATAACATAATATAGAAAAATTATATTTTATTTATTATAAAATTGAAAATGCATATATATTCTAAAATTACGTAAAAATCGTATAACTTAATATATAAATAAATATATAAATTTCTTTAAGAAAGATTCTTTAGAAAGAAAGAGCCTATTATCTATGCAGCAATGATTTAAAAAAGAAACCTGCAAACAAAAAAATATTATTCTAGGACTGTAAAAATGCAATGAATGAATCGAATGCGATCTCTTCTATAAATCGTAACTTAAATTTCAATAATTTTGGACTACTCCCTGATATCTGTAAATACATAAAAGTTATTAAAAAACATTATAAAGTAATTAGTTTCTGTATATTAAATGGATAGAAGGAATCACGGAAAGGAATAAAAGAATATGATATTTATTAGGAAGATAAAAGAAACTAATTACAATTATAATGTTTATGGTAAGCGGTCTTTAGCTAGATTTTACTTGCAATGGAATGTATAACATATAAAAATATGTTAAACATTGTACTGAAAGTAAAATACCATTGCCCGGGTCTAACCACGAGGAGATAATCGCTTCTGAAGACCCACGAGGGATGTGTGCATCCTGAAGATGTCCACATCCGAATTAAATTGAAATGAAAAAAAAATGATCTAACCGAAAAAATTTTTTAAGAAACCTCACTCTTAGGCCCCACCTTAAGAGTTACATCTAGGAAACCTTACAATAATTATCGAGAATAAAGAGAAAAGTTTGAATACTGTATAATCAAATGAAATGCATTTAAATAAAATTCAAGTAACATCCATGATTTTATTAAAAACTAACACACTTCAATACAATTTCAATAAATACTCCTCTTCGAAATTCACCGTCAGACTGGCACTTTGTCCTCTATGTAAATTCTTTTATTAAAATATTGTTTATATGACTTTCCTTTAAAAAATAAAAATGTGTCTGACCATATAAGGATATTTTTCTTTTATAATATTTTTAAAAGAAATTAAAAGAAACTTAAAAGAAACTATTGATTTTTCTTTTCACTTAATTTAAAAAATGTCGAAACACGATCATAAACATTCTTTTTCTTTTGTTTTATTTTTCTTATTCGAACAGGATCTTACTCAGAAGTTTGAATCATGAATCTTCGTCACTGCGAAATAAAATTG